AGCGATTTCATCACATTTAGTCCTTGTTGATCCAGGGCTCGAGTTCCAGGTCTCCTATTCAAGCATTTACTCATCCCCTATCGGTTGCTCAGCATAACCATATGCTCAGGGCATAGTTGTAGACAAGACAGATAATATCCCTGTCCTCGTGGAGTTTGCATTTCAATTTGGCAGGCAGACAAAGACGGGGAAGAAAACAGTTACCAATATGATAAAAGCAGGGAAAGAAATAAGTGAGGTGCTGAAAGAGAATGATGATTGAGGGGAACCTGCTATAGACAAAGTGGACAGGGAAGATTTTTAAGCCAAAAGCTAACGAAGTGGAAAGAGCTAGCTGTGCCAGGAGGTGGGGCGGGGAAGCGAGGTTTGGTAGCTATGGGACCAAGAATTGTGCAAAGGCCCTTTGGTGGTTAAAAGTTTGACCAGATTCTAGGAACTGAAAGACAAGTGTGTTTGGAGTTTAATGACCACAGAGCCAAGCAGCAGTGTAAGATAAAGTTGGAGAGATATGCAGAGGCCAGTTAAGCAATGTAGGTCATATGAAGGGATCTGCATTTTATTCTAAATGCAAAAGATATGCGGAAGCATGAACATGATCTGATTCACATTTTTTAGACGATAATGGCCAGAGCAGATAGGAGGGGAGTGAGAAGAGAGGTGGGGAAACCTGCTGACAAACTTGCCTTGCCGTGGTCCAGGGGAGAGACAGGAGGCCTGCACCAGGCAGTGTTCACTCTGTTTCTTTTTCCTGAGACTCAATCTCCTCCTTTGTAAAGTGCAGATGTAAGCTTACCGGCAGCCTTCTGATTTCAAGATTGTTCTTTTTTAAGCACCAAAGGAGGCAAGAAAAGCATCTTTCTCCGCTGCACCCCTTTTAACAAAAGGATTTATTCTGTAAAATTTGGATTCAGTCAAAAGGCCACACTTAAGGACCTAGAAGGCCACTTAAGGACCTTAAGGCTGCAGGTTCACGACTATACGAGTATAAATAAGACTCCCACGGACTCCTGTTTTAAGATTTGAAATATTTTCAAGATTGATGGTGTTTTCTACTCGTCTTCACCGACCAACCTGACCAACCTACTTCCCTAAACCAAAGGTTTCACTCTAACAGGAACTGCTATCTGTGGCATGCAATCCACTGAACCAGTTAGTGGCTTACAAGCCTCGCCATAAACAGTATTTGTTGTCTACAAGTTCCTTGGCAACTGGAATGGGTGGGGGTGGAAGATCCAAGAACAGGTACAGAATTTTGGATGGACTCAGTCTGTTGAAGATTATTCCAGGGTTTTTTTTGTTGCTGTTTTGTTTTTTTTCTTTTCTGTCCTCCTGCAAGGCCATAGGACCTGTACTACCAACAAAACTAAACTTCACTGTAAGGGATCCTCATTATCCTTAAATTCAATTCCCTTATCTCAGTGCCTTTGTTTCTCATTAGCTCTGCGTATTGATGAAATATCCTTCACTTAAAACATGGTAACGTAATTCAGCTGATACCCTTAAAAGCCTCTTCAACGTTCAGAGGCTGATGGCGATATGTGAAAAAGGCTCTTTATTGTTACAACTAGTATTTAAAAAATGGGTATTTCATGTTGGTTCAAAAATACAGGATGACTCCTGATTACTTGAACATAGCCTAACAGCAGGATCTCAAGGCAATATCTGCTTAGCCAATAGAAAAATCTGTTACACCCACTGTTATATAATCAGTTCAATAGTCTGGTAAACTTCGTATTAATTCGTTTGGCCACGAATGTATATAAGTCCTATTAAGGTTACATGTAAATTTAAACGTTCTTCTGCTCCCCGCCCCACCGTCCATTGTCCAAGGTAATATACTTTCTTAAGCTCTTTATGGGGTGAAGAAACATTGTAAAAAGTTGTTACATTCTTTCTTCAGTCCGAATGATTTAAATAAAAGGGAAGAAATTCTATCGACCAAAATGAGCTGCGAGTAGCTGTTATCCAGCTACATTGGAGAGTAAATCTTGAAGGAAATACCAAGTCGTCATTGTCTGCTGAGTATGCAGACCTGTCACATGCTGAAAATACCGGTTTTCCAAATGCCAACGCCTTCAGGACAATCACTCTAGAAGACCTCCACGGGTCTGCCTCTTTGGGTTGAGAACACAGCTTCTGCTTACAGCCGTGTTCTCACCAAAGCTGGACATTCCAAAGAGAATCCCAGAAAAACGTTTTTGGGGGAGAGGGCCATAAGGCAAACAGGGAACAGTTTCTACTGTGCTCATGGCTTAAACTTTTTCATATGTGTTAAGGGTTACTTTTTTAAAGGAGGCTGGGTATTTCTCTTCCCAAATTTCCTAAGGTGCCCACGCCACAAGCAGGGATGGCCTAGGGCGGGAAATACGATGAGACGCGGGCGACCCCCGAACTGTCCCGGGCCCGCGCCCCTCGCCCACGTGGCTGCCGCACGCTGCGGACGGCGCGCACCCGCTCAAAGTTCAAGGGCGACGGGCAGACTCGGGGACCTTGGACCCAGGGAGCTTCCGCCCCAGAGGCGCCAGTCAGAAGCGCCGCAGCCACGCCACAGCCACAGCACGCACGCCGCCGCCCCGACCACGGTGGCAAAGGACGGGCGGGGAACCGGAAGGCAAGATGGCGACGCCCTCGCCCTCCTCTCGCGAGAGGCGGGGAAGGAAAAAGGTGGGGCGAACGACGGAGACATGGCCAATGAGAGGGCCGGGAGCGCTTCATTGACGGCCCCCGGGGCGCCCCTCCAGGCCCCGCCCCGGCTGCGGAGGCTCTGTTGCCGCCCTCCGCGCTCCCGTCCCCGCCCGTCCTCCCCACTCCGCCCCGCTCTTCTCTTCCCGTCTGAGGTGGCGGCCGGTCTCGCCTCCTCGTCAGCTCCATTTTGCTTCTCCTCCTCTCTCCCTGTCCCCGCGGGCCGAGAGCGGCCGGAGCGCCTCCCCGCCTCCCTAGCGTGGCCGCAGAGCCGCTGCGCCTTCGCCGTCCCCGGGCCCTCGGTCCTTCCGCGGCCGCGCCATGAATGAGGAATACGACGTGATCGTGCTGGGCACCGGCCTGACGGTGAGCGGCGGGCGCGGGGCCGGGGCGCGCGGGTTACGGCTCTTCGCGGGGCCCTCGCCGTCGGCCTGGGCTCTCGGCGCGGGGGCGCGGCGGGGGACGCGTACGGCCTGAGGGCGCCCGGCGCGGGGCGGGCCGCCCCCGGGTGTGCGGAGAAGGACCAGGAAGTGGAACCCCGTGATGGGCGCCCGAGAGCCGGCCGAGGGGTGGGGACGGCTGGCCGGGAGTGGCTGGGGGCGAGGGCTTCACCTCCTGCAGAAACGCACCGGAGGGGAAGCCTGCCGGGGCCGGCGCCCCTCCACCGCCCTTTCGGGCCAGTGACCTCCGGACCGGAGGCGGAGCAGTCCCGGGCGGAGGGGGAGGGCGGAGGCCGCCCGCTGTGATTCCTGCTCAGCCCCAGCCCTTGGCTGCTCGAGCCGGGCGCGAGGTTTCGTTACAAGGCACTGCATAACCGCTGCTTTGTAACTGCCGGAGTTTGATTAACTTAAATCTTGGGGGAAAATGAAGACATTGTTTTTCTTCCTCCTCCCTTTTCCACATAAGCGTTATTGATTCTTTTAAGCCTCGCTCCCTTCCTACTTATGGAGCATCTGTAGAATTGGAAATGTGTTCTCAAAACTTGCCCATCAGATGCTTTCGCGCTTGACCTTTGCCGTCTCCTTTTGTTTGGTGTGATCCCTGCTTCCGTCGTCTGTTCTGGATGCTTCCCCTGAGAAATGGATTGGTGATGGGTTGCTAGAGGCCAGGGTCTCTGCACTTTGAAGCTCTCGTAGGGGAGTTAGAAGATAATAACAAAATGAAGATTGCATTGTTACATATGAATGCAGGGTTTACCTAACACCATAGTATGTTTATTTTCCTGGGTACCTCTCTGCTTAGAGACCTTTAGATAATCTGCGAATAACGTAGGCAGGTTTCGTAGCTTGTACTTTTTCAGTTCTTGCTTTCTTAAGAAAATGAAGACATTCGTCTTGCAAAAGAATTCAATTTGGAGAGAGAAC